GTAAGGGCTGGTCAGTCACTGTGGAAGATTTGTCAGGATGGGGTGATTTAGAAGTGCCCAGAGTAGCAGGACAGTTTACTCTGGGTAAACAGTCAGTGATTTATATAATGTTATCCTCTAAGAGCTTTATGGATATTAACGGTATTACCATTAATTCTGAGAGGGACAGCTATCCCTTTGCTTCCTTTGAAAACTTTCACCTGGCACTAGGAGAAAGGACCTGTTTAATGCAGCCCTGAACAACTGTGAAATGCACATCTGGAAGACGGAAAGGTAAATGAAGGATCTTGACGTTGAGGGTGCAGGCTGACAGGCAGGGGTTTTTGTTAGAGTGCCGCTAGCTTTGCTTTGTCCGGCTGTTGTAAGAACACAGGACCTGCGTAGGAGCAGATGTGAATGTTCTGAACTGCGAAAGCAAAGCTCCCTGTAGGGCCCAGTGTGAGGACTGCATAGTGCTAATACTTTAAATCCTGGGGCACCTTGTGAGAAATGTACATGGTTTCCTGTAATACATTGATTGAGATCACTGCAAGTCATCCTGAGCATCTTTACTATTGCAACAATTTAATCGCACTTGACATGCATAAATTACCAGTCATGATTTATGTCTCTGTGTCTGGACATACAAATGGGACAAAAGGGGTGGGTTTTACTATACATCATCTCCTCTGCAGCAGCTGTCTGTATGTGCCCTTTCCCTGTGATACATGGAAGCTAAACTAGGGCTTCCTATCTTTCATTAAGGATTAAGTTGCCCTAGCTTGGTTTTCACTTGCTACAGGGTAAGATAATCTGAAGTGTTCAAAAGTAATGAGCAACTGACCTGTAGCAAAGGTTTGTAACCTGTGGTAAACTGTTTGTACACCCAGGATCTTTGTTTTTAATACACCATGTTTGTGTTTTTTAATGCCATGCTTTTCATACATGTTGTGATGTTGGTGTTATCCCTGTGTAGACACGACAACAGTGATGCTCCACAACAGAAAGGTGTGGAGAAGTCCCAGAGCCGCGAACATAAAGGAATTTTTAATTTCATTGTAAACACTGCACAATCATAGACAAAGGTGAATGTTGTTAGCATTTAATGGTTTATGGAATGATCTTAATGCAATGCAAACTTACATGACCAGGTGCTCTGGGATAGCAGTTTGTCTGTTCACACTGAGCCTGTCCTCTCTCCTGAGCCTTCCTTATGCTGTTTGTCACGGGACCAAAGGGCCTCGGGCAGGTTGCACCTGGGAAATGCTACAGACATGAGGGCAGGAGCATTCCTGACTGATCCATCCCAGCTCCTTTACCACAGCATCATCCTTGTCATCCACAATCCCTCCATTCAAGGACAGTCTCTACCACAGGGTGAGGTGCCCTTGAAAAGGTTGCAAATGGAAAATTACCAGCAGGGTGGGAAGGCATGTTTAGCTTATGATGGTTGGGAGTACTTGTTTCACGCGGTTAAAGCATTTTTGGGTAAATCAGCTTGGCTTTGCTTGACCCCCGCGGTTCCTGTGGAACGCATTGTGTACTGTAACTATACAACATTGCTATATTGTGCAGTCTCAATGGAAGTGTTTATCACAGCTGCTCAAAATCCCCTCCCTCTGGGAAGGTAGACTCATGGCCTGCTGATATAGCTGGGGGAAAAATCAGGAAAAAGAACGAAAAAGGTATCTGCAACAAAGAAGCCTGATTCCAGTCCCTGCTCCTGCCTCCGGTGAGGCAAGAGGCCCCCAGTGTTGTCCATCTATTTTATCCAATGTCTATTAAATGCGAAACGCAGGAACACCACACAGCCCCTCCCTTCTCAGGCAGCATCTCTCACAGAGCCATATTTCCTCTGATTTGCTCACCTCCTGTGCCCAAATGTCTTCATCTCTTGGGTGCCCTGTCAGCCAGCTTCAGGCAGAGTGCAGGGGTGCTCTTGGCAATTCCTAGCCTATAGACTGGTCTTTAATGCCCTTTGCTGGGATGTAGAAGGCATAAATTGAAAAACCCTTTAGATGAAGGGAGTCTAGAATACATGGAAGACCAGCTTTAAGGAGAGGGCCTTCTCCAAACTGTATCATCACTTGGCTTCTCTGCTAATACAGACCATTCACTGCTACCTAGTCAAGCATTAAAATTGCTCATTTTCACAGGATCATAGGAAAGTAAGGCTGGAAGGGGCCACATATGAGGGCAGGAGAATTCCTGACTAATCCATCCCAGCTCTTTTCCCACGGCATCACCCTTGTCATCCACAATACCTTCATTCAAGGATAGTCTCTATCACAGCTCATGGATGGGTCTCATGGGCACCAAGTCGTGGGGGGGCCACCAGATCGCTAATGGTGGTGGGGAGGGGGTCCGAGTGCTGAGCCCAGAACCACCAGCGGTGAAACTGGAAGTGCACTTCCACCAGCACTTCCGATTTTAAAACCACATCAAAGGTGAATGCTTAATTACTAGGAAGTTACCCTCTAACCAAGAGAATACGATCAGCAGGTGGGTGTGTGTTGGGAAGGGGGTGGATGTTGCAACCATACAGGGGTGTGTTTGGAGGGAAGGGGTGGGGGGGGTGTTGCAACCATACAGACCATATTCATGGGGCCAGAAAGGGAATCAGAGTGACTATGCCCCTGTGGGCAAATGATTAGTAAACTCATCTGAGACGGGGGTGTCCTGAGTGCCAGCCCCTGCTCCAAGGAATATTTATGAATGTTAAACCATCAGTGGTTACAATGCCTAGACACACTGGACACCAGATTCCTCTTCACCCCTCCCAGCTGAGCTGCAGTGGCTGTAGCCTAATCCCAGACTACAACCATGTGCAAGCACTCATTCTCACGCTCCCTCTTGCTTTGGTCCCGTGACTCGTCTGTGCTGCACCGTGGTGCAGTCTCAGCAAGTGTGAACAACACTTTCCTGCACACCAACTGGAGCGGCTTAAGGCCCTGTCCTAGGAGGATCTAGCTATTGGGTGAAGCCTCCTCCTTAGAGAATATTGAACTCAGATCTCCCAGATCCTGGATGTTCTACATGCTCTAATACTGTATGGGGTGGGGGAGCAGCTTTTCTAGGGCCATCTTTTAAGGGGATTAAAGTGATCTTTGCTCCATTCTTACAAGAAAGATTGCAGCATCTTTCTACGGAAGAAACTTCTGGGCTGTGGATCTCAAGGAGGTTGGGTTCACCTCCCTGCAACCATAAGAAAAGGCCATTATTTCAAGTACACCCACATCAACATTTCCCACCTGGTTAGCTGGAAACAGCTTCCCTATTCAGTGCACTATTTTTGGCTCCCACTTGGAGGCACCTAGTTTTTTCCCCGTGCACTGGGTTATTTACCCAACACAAGGGTGTGGAGGCGGCTCTGAAGACCAGGCACCTGAAAGTTATGCATTGCAACACCACACTTTTAGGTACCTCAGCTTTTGCTTTGATTCTGGTCTCCCCTGAGCATGCTTCTGTGATTACTGCTGGCTTCAATAGGACCTCAAGTCTGGGGACCTTCAACCATCAGAGAACTGCTTCTGATCCCCCTTCCCCCCCCCCCCCCCCCCAAGAGTAAGGTAAGTATTTTATAAAACAGGAAAACTTTCCTTGACTTTCCAACCTGGCTACAGGCTTCTCAAAAAAGCTCTGGAAACTGTTCAGCACAGGCCAGTAATCATAGCTGCTCCCTCAAGATTAGTTGGTAGTTTCTGGGACCTTCCACTTTGGGCCATACACCATCTCCTGGCTTCTGAGACCCTGCATGAATCCCATTGTTCACCTGTATCAGATCTCATAGCTCTCCCCAATGTAGTTTGAATGCTCGCTAGTGCCCCAGCATCCTACCCAAGGAAGCCTTTGAGAATTCACGGTCAGTTACATACAATGCTTCTTACCCTTTTGGTCCTGGACCAGCAGTCCAAATACCTTAAAGGCTTTGAAAAATCACATTTCTGTCACGAAAGATCGACAGGGAAGTTCTTCCATTCAATTTGGCAACTTCTGCATTAGGCGGTACGTACCCATGTGTATAGTTCTGCTGATTAGATAAGACTTAGGGCCTTGTTGCATGGTCATTTTGGGCAGCTCCTGGAGCGCTTAACTCCTGGATTGTCTGCACATTAACAGCTGAAACTGGTTTAAAGCACTTGTTATGCAGCTCAGTTATAATACTCTAGGGCAAGATTATCTCTGAACTGCACTACCCATCTCCTGTTGTACTCTGTCCCCCACCCCCAGTGGGAGCAGGAGGGGACCCTGAAGGACATGGGAAAGCCCTGGGGGTAGGGGGGAAGCTTGGCATGGGGTTGGGGGGAGGGAAGGAGAGGGGGATTCTTACCTGTCAGTCCTCCAGGTCCTTGCTGGCCCAAAGTGTGACTGCTCCAAATGTGAGCTAGCGCTACCATCCATCAACATTTGTGTGGCTCACAGCCAGTTGTGTAACAAGGCCCTTAGTGGGTCTGTTTGGCAGAGCTGCTCAGTGTGAGTGGGGTTTGTAGAAAGGTGACCCTTTATGGGCACATCATATTTCATTTGGAGAAAGTCCTGACATTTACAAGCAGAGAACTCTATGATTTTAAATGTCAGAGACATTTCTTCCTTCACCCTATTTTCAAAGTCACCTCCTCTGTTCATGGTCAGACTGATCACCACATTTGGGATAAAGAAGGAATTTTACTTTACAGCCCTCTGTCTTGGATCTCTTGAGTGTTTTTAAAAACCCTTACAGCAACAGGACGTTGATGGTGCCCTTGTCCCCTTGCTTCACCTGGGGCAGGTTCTTAAGTGTTTTAGGGCAATATGTCTTGTAGTTGTGTAACAGGGTTACTGGTATAGTTTTAGAGACAGGTTAGACAAGCACTTGTGTATGATGGTCTGGCTAGAGATCTTGGGGAGAGGGTTGGACTAGGTGATCTCCTGATGTCTCTTCCAGCTCTACTTTTCTATGATTCTGAGATTCTTTTTTGTTGCAATCTGCAGCTCAGGTATTTTGTTTAATCACTTAACCATCTAAATAACAGAAACCTCAGTCAAGTTACCTTGATATTTATTTTATTTAAAGAATCAGAAACACAGTCATTGTAATTCATTTGTACTCATAAGCGCCAACATTTCCTAAATCACGTTAACATTCATGTATCACAAAACCACTTTCTGAGCTGTGCAAAGTACGAAGGAACTGTTCAATTAGCTGAACCCATTTCTAGAATAGCGACCCTGGCATTATACAAAATGGGGCTGCCAGAGGGATTCTTTTGCTTTTTTTTGCAGGAAATGTACTCACACTCCCCTACTTCCTTCTCTCTTTCCTTTGTATGTAGTTAGAAAATGGACCACAGTAGGAGTCAATCCTCTTCCAGAGTCATGGCACTGGGTCACTTTCTTTAATGCTGATCAGTCTGATGTTCTGCACTCGTACTCCTGGCATGGAACTGATTTGACCACGAAGATTACTCAATAACCCAAACTGTTATAATAAGCAATAAACAGGGGTGAGAAACAGCTGGTTTCCAAACTTTTAAACACGGAAAAAATATTTCTTGGAGGAGGTATGACCAAAAGGAATATTTTAACTCTTATTATCTATTTTTATCATCATTATTGTCCTCACTCCAAAATACATTTAGAAACACTGATTTCATGACACAGACATGAGTCCTTTATTTCCCTGCATACTAGCTTTTGTGCCATACAATTTAAGCATTAGAAGGTGGAAATCTGGAAGTATTTTAGAGCTGGCTGAATACAATATGCAGTAACCAAGGCATCTTCCTGTTTCATTTTTCTGAGCATAGTAAATGCAGTCTTGGAACCAGATTTGAACATGGATTTAATCATTATAGTTTCAGCAAAAATCTCTCTCCTTCTGACAGTATTCACCCAGAGACTTTACAGAACACATTTTTGACGTGGCTAGCTTGCTAACTCTCTAGTGTCTTGTGCAACACTGATTTGGACCAAATAACTGGTCAGATAGTTCTTTGTTCTTAAGTCAGTCTTTGGCAGAACAAAAATTGTTAATCTTCTATTGGTTACAAAAAGGCAACCTTCTCCCAACAATAGTCAAACATTTTAGCGGCTGATTTTCTATAACTGGGACTATTAACAAATGATATAATGTTAAAAATGGGGGGGAAAATTATGCCTCCCTTCCCCCCAACCCCGCCCCCCCCCCAAAAAAAAAGAAAAAAAAAGAAAAAAGAAAATTGAAAATGTCTCCATGTTCTGAAGGTGCTACACTTAGCCACAGACTGTGTTTCTGGAATCTGTTCATTACATATGACAGCAAAAGGAACTTAATTTTACTGGAGAACAGAGTCACAGAATGGAACTTAAACATGAACGTTCATTTAGACATACTGTGATATGTGCTAGTATACACATCTTGAAAAACAACAAAAGACATCTTCCTCATGTGAAATACTGGTAAGAAAAGGCTGTCAATTATCTATTTTAATAAGATCATGTCCAGAGAACTTCCTCCCTAACTTGTGCTTGTTGGCCTTGGCAATCAGCTTGCCACTTGTGAAAGGCAAGATACTGCCAGAGTTAAGAATATTCCTTTATCATAACTTGGTTTATGCATAATTGATTTTTTAAAAATACTCTCATAATTACATTTCTGGATTTTTTTCTCTTCTTGCTTAATATGAATAACAGGATAAACTTGCTTTATATTTATTGCACTTTGAAGTCCCTGGTAGGATGGAAGCTTATATTGCCTGATTTATTTTGTATTGTAGCTTCACCAGGTTTGGAAACTGAACAGCATCAAGAACTGTACATTTCTACAGTAAGAAATCACACTTTGATCATGATCATTACAGCCTTTTCAGCTCAGCTCTCATCTCTGTGATGCAATGACAGAGGAAAATTCCACTATTCCTGTGCTTGCTGGAATCTGCAGTGTTCTTTTTATTGCCTTAAAAGTCAATTAAAATTACTCCTCCTGGAAATGCTCCCAATTCTTGAATACTTAGCACTGTCTAGACAGAGTATTGTGCTTTAGAAACTACATCTGTGAGAGGAAGCGTGTTACACACAGTGAAGTATATGCCCATTGCTGCCGAACCTGATTTTCTCTCTTGCTTTACGTAACGCTAGCAAACACTTTGAACTTGCTGAAACGTGCTTTAGATGCATTTCAGATTCCTATGTCAAATGTGAAACCTGCTGCAGCCTCGCCATTGAGCCAAACCAAACTTTTCCTAATAAAAAAAGTAGCACCAGATGTTATGAAAAAGAGAAAATGTCTGCTCTATTAGGAATATACACAGATATAAAGGATAACAATTCTTACAGTAAAAAGTATGCCGTACAAAAAAAAGCAATTGGAAGTGATACTGAAGGACAAATAACCATGCTGCATATAATAAAGGCAGAAGATAGGTAAAAGGGATTCTGCTCAGAGAACCACAATTGAATGGTGGAGCCATACTGCCTCAGGCTCCACCTGTACATGTCACTGGTGCTTCAGATGCTATGAAACTCTAGTCACTAACACACTTCCTGACTGACGCTTTTATGCAACACATTTTTGAGGTATATCAACAGCATGACACTAATGTTTTGGACTCCTCATTCTTCCTTGCAGGATACTGCCCAATTCTTTAGCTGGGTTTTCTGTACTTTCCCTCATCTCTCCTGGAAAAATAAAATCCCAGTTCCATGAGCTTCCTACCACCCCTCCTTAAACTTTCAAATCCATCTTGCATAGGCCAGTAATAAGAACACTGCAGCTCTGACAAATAAGTTACAGCAATAAAACAACTTTCACTTTTTTCTCTTTTTTTAAAGATATTTTCTCTATAATTTACACAAAGGGGAACAGGTAGAGTTCAGGTTAGATACAGTCCAAATGTGCATCCTCTCAGTCTGTAATTCCAGGTGGAAGGCACTACTTCAACATACCACTGTATGCACCAGATACGGTTTTGGAAGCACAGCAGAGTACTGTGCCTCCAGAGCTGTAGATGGGACGGCTGGGGAGTCTTTGGAAATAGAAATGGCAGTGGATATCAGTCAGGTCTCCCTTGGCTGTCTCTTTTTGTGCTATGGAATTTCCCCTGAAAAAGCCTTCAGTTCAGAGAGTGGCAATGAGTAAAAGCGTGTCCTCAGAAGCTCTCTACAAAGCTTCCGGGGAAGAGGCCCGTCCTGCCATTTCGCTGTAATGTCCCTTTATACCAGCCGTCCTCTCTTTTCTTGTGCACAAACACAATGTCACCTTCTTTCAGTTCAATTTCTGCTTCGCTTTGAGGTGGGTATGGTACCACAACACGATACCTGTAAAAACAGAAGGGAAGACCGTATCACACACAAATCCAATGGTCTGATCTAGTATTCCCTCACGTGGGCAGGATGCTACTGAGAGCTGCGTGAAGTTGGTCCTACTCTCATGACAGCACAGCACGTTTCAGAGGACTGCAAACTGAGTTTGCCCCAAATGCCTTGCAAAACTCCATCTCCATCTCTGAGACCTAAACTTTCCCAGCAGTTTAAAAAGGATGCTTCTCTCTTCCTAAGCACTGTATGGAGTGGCCTTGTATGTCTCAGAGCTGTGCAAATAATCAATTTGTTGGTTTAGTGGCCAAACCGCGGTCACCAGAAAACACCCTCCCCTTCCCCACAACCCTGCCCCCTGTGCCAAACAAAAACCCTTAAACATTATTTGGGCTTGACAGAGACCTGCCTCCTTCAGTCCCAGCAGATAAGCCCATTCATACTCATATCAAGCTCCATCTTAATTCAGTTTCTTGTCCACTACTATTGCACCTGGAAGGCTGATCAACCTTATTCCTCTGAGAGTGAGAAACCATCATCTCATTCTAGCCATGCACAGGCAGGTTATACCCATTTGTTCTTGTGTCAACACAATATTTTAGCTTAGGCAGCACTTCCCCACCCTCTGGTATTTATCCCCCTGGGGTACTTACTGAATGCAATCAGGCAGCAGTGTAACTGGGAGAAGGCAAGTAGGTGGTGAGTCAGAGGAGGTGCCACGAATGGGACTGGGAGCCTGCACTGTGGCAGCAGCAGCTGGCTCCTCGAGAGTCCACCCTGAGCTAATGGTCAGGGAAGACTCTCTGGGGCTTGGCAACTCCCCTGACCTGCTTTTCGGCACCTCTGCCCAGGGAGCCGAAATCCCTAGTTCTGCTGCTGCAATTCAGGTTCTTTGTTGGCCTTCACTTTGCTACATGAAACAAGTCAAATTGAAGTCTCCTGTCCTCTAAGACTGGCTCTCCATTCCCCTGGGTAGTTCTAGTAGCCCTTCAGTTTGACCCTGGGTGCGCAGAACTGCACACAGCAGTGCAGATGAGATCTCACCATGGCCTTGTTCAATGGCACTAAGCCTTCTTTCTCTCTACTGCAGATACTTTGCCAGATGCATCCTAGGGTTGCATTTGCTGTTTTTCATGGCTGTACCACATCTGTAGCTCAGAGTCATTGTGTAATCTGCCGTACACCCCATTCTTTCCTCCCTCTACCCATTCCAGTTGACTTGCCCCCAGCTTATAATAGAAAAATCAAGATCGACAAAACACGTAGAGGTCAGATCCAGATTTCCCTTGTAAGTGCCACCATTTTAGGTTTTGGCACTGCTAAAAAGTACACACTCTGCCCCTAGAAGGTGATCCGGATGGACAGGGAGTTTGGTGCTGAGGATCTCAACACAATGAATGTGGAACAGTGCAAACATTCAAAGGGGACCTTGGCACTGAGCCAGGAGGCACACAGCAAAGAAGAAACAGTGAGCACAAGGGTGTCTCTGAACTTCTGCCCCTTCTCAGAGCTTCATCTCCACCCACGCATGATCCCGAGTGCCTAGACCTCCTCTGATGACTAGATACTGGGGGTAGCGCAGCTGCCCACCTACTACACAACTGAGCACACAGCCAGGAAAGGGGGCACCTGGGTTCTAGATGCTCTTCAGCCTAAGGGGATTCAAACCCACTTTAGTAATTTTTAAGGCAAGTGTCTTAACCCTGATTCCTGCTGATGCTTGATTTATGGGCAGAAAGGAATGAAGGTATCACAGGGCCAGAAAGAGATCAAATCAGAGGAAGCCAAGCCCTAGAAGTTCAGGTCTCAGAGGAACCAAGTCTGGAGGTCCTGAACGAACGCTCCTCTAAGGGAAGGTGTCATAGTTTCCATTAAGTGGAAACTATGACACCTCCTTTGTGGTAACCCTCAGACTATGGCTGAGAAACAAGCCTCTCACTCACTCCTATGCTACACACACTGCAAGCAAAGCAGGGGTGGGGGATAGCCTATCTCACCTGTAAGACCAGTGCTCTCCAAGCTGCATATTCATCATGTAAGTTTTTGCTAAAATTAATTCACCCAGCTCCCATGGTATTGTACAGTCATTTTGTCTTACTGTACAAGTGGCTACTGCTGGAAGGGAAACTGTTTCTTAGCATACAGCAAGTTTCAGTTTTCACCTACTGTATTTTCTTTGAAGTTTTTCAGCAACCCATTCCTGGTTCTTTTAGGGTGAAAGAATTGGTCTCAGAGCTGGCTGAATAGATAATGCACCTAGTGAAGAAAGAACATATGGGTTCTTCACCAAGAGTTGTGAAACGAACATAACCCCTCATGATGTGGGACTTGCATGGGTAGGGTTGCTTGGCACTTATGGGAGACATGGGAGTTTTAACCATCAGGAAAGGGGGGTCAGGCTGATTCTTAGTGTTGGATAGTTAGATCTAGGATGCTCCCAGCTAGAAACTGCTAGCTTTGGGCTGGATCCCTGTAATTTATTTTTCAAGATGTGATGGGCTAGCTAGAGGTGTTGTCAGAGGGGCGATGTGGCCCTCCAAGATTAGTTTACCCTCTGCAGTTGTAACTGTGGTACACACCCAAGGCCATCTTTGGTGCACGGGAGGGAAAATGCTCATAGAGAGAAACCAAATTGATTTTCTGCTCTGATCTGGGGACTCTGAGCCCATGAGAAATGTACATGCTTCTAAAAGTTTGGTTTTGCGTAGAATCTGAATAATTCTATTTCCCCCTCTCAATATCCTATGAACTAGAAATCTTGAAAAAAGTCCTTTCCACAAATACTGACGCATTCTATTTTCATGGAACATTTTGGATCCGGGATAGCCACACTTTCCAGCGTAGTTTGGTTTCACTGGAAAATTTTTGCTCAGCCCTGCTCAGGACTTCAAAATATTTTGCTCACAAAGCTAAGGCATGGGAGCACAAAGGAGCTGCTAATTGTTGCTATTAAATAATGGCAGTAGCTCCTTATCATGTGTCTGTTTTTTTCTAGCACTGCCCCTGCCCTTGTCACACTCGCCTTCTCCTTTGCTTTATCTTGCACGGGACTCTTTCTGAAAATGACATTGGGGTTGTCAGGAGAAACACAGACAAAAAGGCTGCCCTGTCCCAAATAGTTAACAAGTAACAGAAGGGTCCAGGTAGTCAGCTTCTAAGCTTTTTTAAGTGTGGGGAGGGAAAGCCTGTGAACATTTTTGCTGCTTATAGACCATACCTATACAGGCAACCCCCACTTCGTGCTCTTAATCTGGAAAAACTGAGTGCTAAGCGAAATCCATTTTCCCATAGGGATGAATGTAAATAGCAATAATTGGTTACTGCCACTGCTTGCAGCCGCCTCTCCCCATGCCTCTGCCCATCCACCAGCCACTCCAGCCCCATATGCCCTGCTGCCTTGCCCTGAGCCCGAGCCCCTGCCGGCTCTGACTGCAGGCACTTGTGCTTCTGCTGCACCAGCCTGGACATGGGCTCCTGCTGGCCCTGACCACTTCTCACTGCTTCTTCCCACCCGTCCATCTGTTCCAGCACCACACGCCAGCCCAGGCCCCAAGCTCCTGCTGCCCCGTGCTGGGTCCCTGCTAGCCCTGGCCCAGGCACTGGCACAGGCCCTGCATTCATGCCTGCCCCTCCCTGCTTCTCACTGCCACCGCCACTTCTGCTTCTCCCCACCCACCCGCCAAAACTCACCAATTCCACTGAGCAATACAGAAAAACTAGCTGGGCGCTCAGTGGAATTGGGTATGATTTTAAATGAGCACTGTAGTGAAATAGCACTAACCAAAACTGTGTTAAGTGAGGGTTGCTGGTACTGCCTCTCTGTTGAGCCTGGGACTGCAGCTGAGAAACAAGACCTACCCAGTTTGCTCCCTCTCTGCACTTGCCCAAACTCAGTAGTTAAGGTAGAGTAGATGGCTCAAAGAAGCTTTCAGTCCATTCCCTGTCTCAGGCATCTGAGAGCAGTACTAGAGCACCCATGCAGGTCCCCATCTTGTCACAGAATCACAAGGAAGGGACCTCAAGGGTCACCTAGTCCATCCCCTTGGAGGAATGCTACTCCTAATCCCTCCTCCCCACTATTTTGCTGGGCTTGAGCACATGCAAAGGGGGAAATGAATGGGTGAGCCTTATTTCTTGGTAGCTAGGTTGGGCGCAGCCAGGAGGTAATATAAACATGCCTTAAGGCATGTTCCTAGATGCAGTCCTATGGAAGTCATGGATCTTGCATATCTTCTGCTGACTGATGTGCAGAATTGAGAATAAAACATACCTAATACACAGCTGATCCTCCTCACCACGTGCAGCTTCACTAATCAGTTGGCATTTATTTAATAATCAATACCTGTCTCACTAATTGCAAAGAAATGAATACAGTAAGATAGTTAAAGAAACACCAATTGATCATTCAAAACATTGCTCTGAAGGATTTAATACATTTACCATTGCTGTATGGTCATTAATACCCAATTAATGTTTTTCACAGTCAAGTATTTATTTAAAATAATTACGTGCCTTACAGCTAAATTAAATGTGCACTTGAAAATCTCATGGTGCAACATTACCATAAGTTCTCTCAATTGATTCCCAGTGGGTTGGTACCACATCAAGGACCTCTCTGAAACTGAATGACAGTAGCTAATTTTCATTGCAACAACTGCTTGGATCCCTGCTGGCTCCTGTTGTGAAGCTAGAGACTCAAAATATGTGACAGCGAAACTGCCAGATTTGGCTACAGGAGCTTTGTGCTTTAGCACGGCCAAGGATCCTGTTAGCTGTAAACACGTTCAGCTCCATCCAGAAGTGGGTGCTCTGCTCTAAAATACCTGGGTAAAATCTTACTGTCTTGACTGACAACATAGTCAAGTAGAATCTAAATCTGTGTTCAAGCGGCATCAAAAATTAGTTGGTCATCTCTTCCCCTTAGCCAGTAAATCTAGTTGTCACTTGTTTCCTATGTGGAAAAGCAAATGATATAGGTTGAAATGTGCACTGCCTGCTGGCTG